AAAACAACTTCCTTTTTAATGGGGTCCATTTTTATCATATCATAAGCTTGCTCCCATCTATGTGATGTGTAACTTTCAGTGCATCTACTACCTAAACTAACAAACAAAAATATTTACAAAACCTAAACGTATGCAAGTCACTTCTTTTATTAAATTTGATTGTAGCTCTTTTTCAAAGGAAATCTTTCACCAGAGAGGTGACGTAGCTCTAAAGTATATTTAAAGCCAAAACTGTTTTTTTTAGTTTTGGATAGAATAGGGGATGGGAAAACCCCGGTTAGGCTTTATTTACATCTATATCTCTCTGAGGAGAATTACTTTGACTTCCTGTTGCAGTACTTTATCTCTAGCGCTGTGTTTCAAGTACTCTATCTATCTAAAGGCGGTTCACCTCCTTTATTTTCATAGCTGCTTTTTGATACAAGTACAATTTAGCCATATCCAGGAGCGCAGATTTATTTTTCCTATATGATAAAAAATAATTTGCATCTCCACTTAGAACTGCTGAAGGAAAAAGGTGTTTTTTGTAAGAAATGGGAAGAAATTTGTTGCAGCTGCAAATCTACTGGTTCCAAGATTCAAAGGCAGTTATGTGAATGATGAGAATACGACTGCTGCATTTCACGGAATTACAAATCAATCTTTACACTTAGGACTTGATGTTGGAAAAGTACTTGGAATGTTGCAGAATATAGAACATCTTCAGGGATTTGGGCCAGGAATGCACTCGGATTCTGCAAAACATATCCCTCCTGCAACATGGTGGCAAGGTCTCTGCACAACACAACCTCTGACAACTCTTGCATCTCGCTTATTGCAGATCCCTGCATTTTCTGCTGCATGTGGAAGAATCTGGTCTATGTTTGGTAATATTCATACCAAATCAAGAAACAAACTGACCTGTGAAAGGGTAGAAAAGCTTGTTTCAAACTATGCAAAGTTTTTTTAGAAGTCCATGAGAAAATTGATGAATATGGAGAGAAAGAAGAAAGGGAAAATAAGAGCAATAGTTCTAAAAATGAGACGGATTACATTTCATGTATATGTTGTGTCTTTTTTTTCCTTTGCTCAATTTTTTTTTTTTTAAAGCACCACTCCATTGTCAAACTTAATTATGGAGCTTAAATATTGAGGTGGTCCTTACACACCCCTAATGCCATGAGCCCATATGCTACTGGCATGTATAATTCCAGTTACTTACCTTTTTATTTCCAATTGTTGCCAAGGTGCAGTTCTAAAAAATGTTTGATGGTTTCCTGCTGCTTTTTTTTTTCAATTTTGCCAAAAATTTCCATTTTGTTCCAATAAAAAACAGGGAAAAGGTTTTTTTTTTTTTTCTTTTTTCGATGGCTTGAAAATTTACAGAAATTTTACATCTCTAAACCCGCCCGGATAACAACATTTACTTCTTTTTTTTTTTTCTTTTTTCTTGCGTAAACATGTATTTATTTAGATTTTATTTGCCATTTTTGATTTTTTTTCTTTATAGAGCAAGAAAAATACAGGGATCATTGTTGCTATCTCTCTGCAATGTTTATTTGTAATTAAACTCACACAGCTATGATTGTTTAATAACAGGACGGCACAAGTCCTTCCAGTACTGTACCTGAGGAGGAGTCTTCAAAGGCAGGGGCTGAGGTCTTCCAGAACTTTCTGAAGAATAGCTATAAAGAGCAGCGGCGACTGGCCGTGGAGGAGAAACGGCGCACCCTAGAAAGCTTGTCAGAGACTATCATGAAATTCAAAAACAAGAGAAAGCATGGCGAACAAGAAGGTGTGTGTTGAAAAAGTCACCCTACCCATGCTTATTACATGTAATGTAAACGTTTGGTCTGTAAAATATACTCATGAAAGTGTTTTGTTATAATCTGTTCAGTAATTGCACAAAATACCTGTTAATCCTGACGAAAATTCAGTAGCCTAAAAACGTCCTTTACTCTCTGCCTGTACTGCACTGAGAGTCTCTAGCAGTATTAACTGCCCTGCCTAGTTCTCCTATTTTAGACTACAGAACACCTCCCTCTATGTCGTTGATATGAGGAAGGAGGGTGTTTTGTAGAACTAATGCACATCATGGTGACAATGCTGCTCCTCCACAGATAGTGATTGAGCATCCTAGAACAGGAACTGTGTTTCTTGCAGGATTGTTACATAACAAATAAAAGACAGAGGCTAAAATAGAAAACCAATGCAGCCACTAAATCTGAGAAGTGGTACACTGCAATATATTACGTTCTTGTTTTTGGGTGTAGATATGCTTCAAAGGAAGTGCAGTAACCTACAACAAGCAGTTAAAAAAAATCGTATTTCTGATTCCATTTCTGGGTGGATGTCATCAGCTACTTTTGTTTGTGATCACTGTTCGTAGAATTGCTCTATTGTACAAATCCTCTGTCCCTTCACCTGAAGTTGGAGTTGTGGCCATGGCCCTGCCTTCACATAAATATTAGAGTAAGTAAAACATTAAATTAATCAAAACTGTAGATTTTATTTTTCTTGCTTCTAAGGGTTGTAGAATTTGTTATTTTTGAAGCAATACATATTTATTTAGTATAAAGTAGCAATGCAAAAGAAAGGAGAAAGATGTCAGGAATATTTTCATTATGTTATATTTTATACAGTATATGATTTCTGTAAGTCTAGTATGGTGTTACAAATAGATTTTCAGACTAGCCACTAGAGGGAGCAAACACGCAATTTGCTGTCACGCTGACTCTCCCCTTAGCAACTGTTGTCATAAACTATCGACCATGTGTAGATGAGTGCATTGTTTTCAGTCAGGCATTAGTTCTTAAATTGCACTGTGGGGAGGAGCTGTAACGTATAACCATTGTGTAGCAATTTAAAACAAGAAGCAGAGCACAGTATTTAGTGAGTAGTTATGGCAGTTCCTATGTCAGTATACACTGTCTCTCTAAAAAAAGTCACACACACGAATATTTAGTTGGGCCATCTTTAGTGTTGATTACAGCACACATTCATCGTGCCATCATCTCGATAAGCTTATGCAATGTCACAAACATTTATTTCCATCCAGAGTTGCATTAATTTTTCACCACAGTCTTGTAGTGATGATGGAAGAGTCGGACCACTGCGTAAAGTCTTCTCCAGCACATCCCAAAGATTCTCAATGGGGTTAAGGTCTGAACTGGATGGTGGCCAATCCATGTGTGGAAATCATGTCTCATGCTCCCTGAACCACTCTTTCACAATCTGACCCCGATGAATCCTGGCACTGTCATCTTGGAATATGTCTGTGCATCAGGGATGGAAAAACCTGGTCATTCGGTGTATTCGGGTAGGCAGCTGACCTAATTTTTTGGGAACATAACGTTGCAGAACCTACACCTATTATCCTATGGAAGGCTCTGACCTATTTGCTTAGCTAAATCCAGGTGGTGACTTTTTTTTATTTTTTGAACAGTGTATAACTACAAATGATACATTTTTTTCACTTGATCTCATTTAATAGGGCACAACATTCCTGTCAGCACTACCAAATAACATCTTTTAAATAAAAATAATGCATGTTTTACATGAATACCAAATCACTGCTCTGAGCTCCATCATATACATATATATTACTGCCCAGCCAGAAATGGCATGGCCTTTGGCAGCCAAGCATTTTGTGGGAGTATGCCATAATCAGAGACAACATAGAGTTTGTTTTCAGTTATACATAGTTTACTTGTTTGATAAGAGTTTGCAGGAAGCAAAGCCTGCTTATTTTAGCTGCAATTATTGTTGCCCTAGGTACATAGAGAACATTGCTGTGTACATAACAGCCACCACTCTTTTTATGTGATTTATACAGAAGAACCAATGGAATCCTCCTCCCATGGACCTATTAATGAGCTTCAGAACCTAGAAGAGACTTTTAATTTCCCTGAAGAAGCCATGATGGTGCAGATTCCAACAGCGCAAACCAGTATACAAAGTATAGAAGAAGTAGACCTGTGCAAAGCCTCACCAGACTGGCCTTACATTGGGCAGAAGAAGCATGAATTACGGTTCAAGGTTTTCAGGGACCTCTGGCAGAAGGGATACTACCTCACCAGCGGTAGCAAATTTGGTGGAGACTTTCTTGTTTATCCAGGTATTGCATGAACACAGCTGAAAGAAGACAAAGAGGTAGATTCACTAAAGGAGTAGAGCATGTTCACTTAAAGTGAATTTTCACTTTGCAAAGTACATTTTAAATTAGCTTAATGAAATGAAGTTAGATGAAAATATTTGATTTTTGCTTGCACATGAATGGATAATCAAAGAAAAAATTCACTCTGCTAAGTGAACAGCCGTTACTCCATTAGTAAATAATTTCCAGTGTATTAACTTCTAACAGTATCTTTCTATGTATTCTTAACCAGCAAAAGCCTACCGGTATATCTTTTTTACACCAACACATACTTGGAAACACAAAAATGTTAACATTAAAGACTTGATATAGAACAATATCCTTAAATTTGACACTAAAGTTAAATCTTAAAAATGCATTGAAGTACCTTACCTAATAACAGATTAATTATTAACAGGCTGTTAGATCCTCAAATCATTTCTGAGTTCATCCTGACACTGTCCTTCCTTCTGGAGGGTGGCTACTTTTGTTCCCCATGGTCACTGTGTGTGTTGTAAAGTAGCCAGCTCACTCCTGTGATGGACTACAATCTCATGTTTAGTTTACTCATCCTGTGATGGACTACAATCTCATGTTTAGTTTACTCATTTGTATTGAGATTGTAGTCAATCTCAGGAGTGAGCTTGGAGCGGTGGCTACTTTACAACACACACATGGACCAGAAGGAAGGACAGTGTCAGCACTAATTCAGAGATGATTTGAGGATCTACAGCAGAGTGATACACAAATAAAGTAGATTTTTGATACTTGAATGCATTTTTAAGATTTAACTCCTGAGTTTAATGTCACTTTAAGAGTGATCAGACAAGCTTTTATTATAAGCAACTACTTATTCTAGTTCCAGGGGAATAAAGGTAAAATCAGGGCCACTGCAGGTGATGTGACTGCCTCAGAACTGGAAGATATATAGTGACAACTACAGTATGGGCATTCTCCCTCTGTTATCTTGCTTACTGGCATGTTGGTGTGCGATGCCAGGCACAGTACTGATGCGCCAATCTCGGTGCATTGCAGTGTTTATCTTTTTGTGTTAAACTTAATTTCAATATGTTCTATGGGCACAGTGCAGCGAGATGCGGTTCTACCATGTAGCACCCCGCTGTGCTGAAAAAAGTACTGCATGCAAGAACTGAGTCCAACTGGGCGTATCCCGGCACAATTGTCGGGATCCGCTTCAGCTGCGGCTTCTCAGTATACCGTGAGCTACAGCTCGCGGTATACTGAGCCTAGGGTGACGGGAAGACGCTAGTTTGTGTCCTCCCGTTACCCTAAGGAGAACTATGGGGAAAAGCCTTAACCCCATAGTTCTCCTTTAACAGACGTAGGATTGTTGTGTTGAATTATACAGCTGGGCAGATGTGCAAGCACCAGAAGCAGTCTTCTTTCTGATACTGGCAGCACTTCAGGACGTTTTGGACGATGTCATGTTTTCTTTAAATAATTGCTCTGCCAGGGTAGAACTTGGGTATTTAAGCCAACAAACCTGCACTGGGTCTGTCAGGTTTCACTTTATAATTGCACCAAAAAAGATGGATTCTCTGGGTAGTAGCTGTACTTTTGTCTAGATCTGCTGTGGTTATAATGTACCTTTCCTTGATCTGACAGTACACAATGGATTCCAACCAACGCTGAATTGCTGGATAGAAGAGGTTTAGGTAATCCTGTACTGAGAGAAATTAGTTTGCCATTGCCGACATCCTTCCTAAAATGCTACTTGCCTGCCTACCTGCCTGGAACACGCATACATATCAAGTGAAGTCATAATGCCAGATCTGCATTTAACACATTTTAAAGCATTAGCACATTCTGATAACTTTATTTTCATTTAAGCTGATCCTTTTATAAATTCATATCTAAAAACAGAATGAAAAAAAAACTGTCCATTCCCTTTGTAAAGCTCCGCTCAGAGCACACAGCTAAATGCATAGTAGAAATACAAGTCCAAGTTAGGTATAAGGCACTCACGGCCTTTCCAGTGGAGATGAGGCAAAGCATCAGCATTTTATTGTCAACTTTTCAATGAAGCCCAGTTCAGCTTTATCAATTCTTCATATAGATGGACTGATCTCCATTGAAACATTGACAATAAAATGCAGATTCTTTGACTTTTCTTCACTGCAAGGGCTGTGAGGGACCTACTTTGGATTTGTATATAGACATTTTTGTGCACGAGCACATACCTCACGAATAGAGTGCACTGTAGATATACATATGTAAACTTTTTATTTTTTTTACCTGCCAAACGTTTTGTGATCCAGGCATCCATGTCAGACAGGACAACCAGGTGCTGGTCCATTAGTACAGTAGCGGTACAGCTTAGTCAAAACACACACCCCAGCCTCCTGATTGGACAATGAAGAAACAACAGGATGCTTTTATGATGCCCTTTCCTAGTCTGAGCAATGCTCACAGGGTCATTAAGTTATTGTTGTCCGCATGACTAATTGGTTTTACATTATGGAGAGTCCATCAGAGTAGAGTGCCGTCATTTGGCTTTGGCATAGCCTTGATAGTTTGAATAGGGAACAGTGGTGCAGATATCTCACCTCTTAGATTCCTGAGAGATATAAGAAGCCAGAATTGAATGGAACTGTGCAAGTAACAAAACTGAACTATCACGTTTATTATAGGTGTCTTCATTCATGCCTACCACAGTTCACCAACACCTGACCTTTTGTAGGCAGGAGGGGCACCTCCAACCTGTGTACATGGTTGTTCTGCTGTGCTCCTGTCACTTTAGATTCAGTTCTTTTAGGTGCAGGGTAAATGAAGCTGAATAGGTGATGTCGCACAAGCTTGACTGCTACTATACTGCATCCTTCTTCACTCTAGTTTCAGCTCCCTACAAGCAGCATCATATCAGCTCCATTCATCCTATGGCAAAAGAAAGCAAAGTGACCCTGATCTATAGCAAAATACTTTGTTTATGTAGCCTAACATTGTTTCAAGGATGAATTTTATTATATGTGTGTATTTCAGACCCTATATTGAAAATGTATTTGTCTTAACGCAGGAGACCCTATGCGCTTCCATGCACATTATATTGCCATCTGCTTTCCACAAGATGAAGAAATCGCATTAAGTGACATTATCACTGCAGGAAGACTGGGAACAAATGTCAAGAAGACGGTACTGCTGTGTTCTTCTAATCAGGAGGGGCTAGTGACTTACACTTCTTTACAATGGTCTGGAATGCAGTAAAGACCTAATATTTAGGTATTAAATATTTCAATATGAGGTCTTTTGTCTGTTCCTGTTTTGTGGCACTGTTACCCACAGCGATGGTTACCAAATGCCATTGAGAATGAGACCCATTTGAAAGCATTGAAATGAAGTTTCTTTGCGCTGCCAGCAATAAGTAATGAGCGCGAAGTAAGAACACTTGCGTGTGCTATTCAAACTGAGCCTATGAAGAAAAGTATATGAGCAGATGTGTGAACAAGCCCTTAAAGGAAGAGGTCAGCACACTTCTCTACATAACCCCCCATTTATGTAAAAGAGGAGTGTGATTTTGAGGCATTGTGAAGAAAAAGGTGTTTAGGAGGAAAAGTCTTGGCACATGCATGGCAAGTCTTCATTTTAGATGTGTCAAGAAGTAGGACTCAATACATCAGCCAAGGAGATCAACATGCATGTAGTATTGTACAACCTGCAATTGATGTCTGGTTGGCACAAGGGGCCAAAAGACAAAGCAGTTCAAAAGACCTGCCAGTGGTATACATCTTCCACATGTTGCTCAAAAGTTGAGGGTTAAAGGAAATGTTTACTGAGAGAAATATATGGGGATGGCATTCCTGAATACTAACTGTTTGGTTCAGTTACTGACACAGAACAAGTAAAAACCTCTGATCTGTATAATTGTTCTAGGTCTGTGCCTCAAAATGTATTCGTGAGTGGATCTGCATAACAGCTAGACAGAAGCATTTTCAGAAGATGTCATGACAGGTTTCCGTAAGAAAAAATGTTCCTTCTGTTACTGTCCTGGTGATGGCACAGGAAGTGAGGGGAAAACCTCCTACCTGGGACACGGCAATACATAGCTGTCAGCTACTGTACCCTTTAACCCTACGTATTCCAAGAAAGGTTTTGGCTGGAATTCTACTTTAATGCTGTGCAAGATTTCAATTCATTGTGTTGCAACACGCAAATATTTCACTTTATAAAGATCAATGACGTATTCCGCTTTCAATACTCAATGGCACTGCTGAGCCAGAAATGTCCCAACCTACTGTCAAGCATCTAAAAGTTGCATATACAAGAGAAACTGCAATCAATGTTTCTTCTGCCGGTACTGACCAATCTGACCTTACTGCCGAGTGACGGACTTCATTTTGAATACATTGTTGCTCTGCAGATTTTATGCATACAAATGTATGGACCATGATGTAAACTTGACTTCCTTCTCTGCTCTGTATTATTCATGTATATTACTGATACTGAGCCTCAGTGGTTGCTCATGTTCATGATATTGTATATCTGTCAATTCATTTAATGAAAATAAATTTGTATTTGCCTGGAGTTCAGATACAATAAATACCCTCATCATAGTAATAGTCAGGGCATCTTCTGGCTAACTGTCAATACTATAAACCCTTTCACTATGCACGCTTTACATGAAAATGTAGGACTCATTGGCACAGGTAACAAAGTAATTTTTCAGGAGAGGTAAGTCTCACAAGTGCATAAGAATGCTGCCCACATAGCAGGTGTAGGGTTAAATTATAGTGACAATCTAATTGCTTTGACATGATTCATTTAAAAGAGATGCCCAGCATGCTGGTCAAAGACTGAAAATTATTACTTTTGGGTGATACCATTTATTGGCTAACTAATATATATTGTAATGCAAGCTTTTGAAGCACACTGGCCTCTTCTTTAGGCAATATGAACTGAAAGTAAAACAAATGCATTTTGTACATGAAACAGACTGATACAGCTGTTGACACACATGAATAGCAATGGGTGTTAAAACAATTAGGATACATAGTGATGGATCAGTGTATCTGTAAGTTGAAGTAGCCATCCTGACATACTTCACACCATAGTGGGCGTGGATGGTGTGTAAAGTCTGTATGCTGGTTCACAGATGATCCTAGTGGCAAATAAGCACTGTGAGGTCATTGAAGTTGTGGTCTCTCCTGCAGAAGTTCGCCTCTACACAAACATTCATTTTGTTCATTCAATTATGTAATGTTTGTCCAATTTCAGCAGCATTGTGTACACATAATCAGGTGCACCAAATTAGAAGATTTGCAGGGGAAGGGTGTCTTTTATTCTGAATTTGTATTGGTAGCATGTTAGTGGCATTTATACTTTTTCTGGCTGCATGGGGATGTGCCATTTTGTTCTGTGAGCTTCTCATAATAAGTTGTTTTAGGTTTGGTGGCTGTTGGTGTCCTGGAAAAAAGCACAGAAATCATTATTTGAGTCTTTTATATCTGTGATGGAGGGGCTTCTTTTTCTACTACAGATAGGACTTCTAGATGTAGATTGACCCTTTCACTGCCTTTTTTGCATGTTATAATTCACATTTTAGGCCTGAAAATTACCTTAAACCCCTAAACATTATTTTTTACCTATAGGATGCCTAGGTTAAAAAATGCGTGCATCCATGAAACGGTGACAAAATAGGTAGTGCTTAAACCCCTTAGTGACACAATCTTTTTGCTTTTGGGGACCAGAGCAATTATGCCATTTTTGCTGTGTGTTTAACTATAATTTCCATCTTCCTTACTCACTGCACCTACACATTATATACCGCTTTTAAAAAGGACAAAATGGTCCTTTTTAAATGTGACATATGCATATAGAATTTTTTTTTATAAATACAAAATAAAATTGATTTTTTTTCAGTTTTGGCAATAATAATGTGCACATAATTAGTGTAGCTAACAAAGTAATTCATAATAAATTCTTATATTTGTCCTGATTGATAGGGTAGATCATATGTCTGGGATTTTAGTTTATTTTGGGAGTTATAGGTCACAAAATACAAGGAGTGAAATACAATTTTAGAATGTGGTATGCTTGTTTCTTATCTTTAATAGCCTCCTCTATATTTTTAAAATAAATGTATTTTTAAAAAAAATATTTTATTTTTAAACTAGGGGGCACATAGGAGTTATTTCTTAATTGATAGGGGCTTTGATACTTAGTATCTCTGAGTAGAATACTGTATTCTGCTCAGGTACTTTGTAAACACAGTGAGCAGTTGCCGACCGTGTGATTGTCACGGCTCTGCAATCACAGCGATCAGCTCGTGATCACAGAACTGTGACCACCTAATCTGCCGTTAAGGGTCTGCATCGGACCCTGAGGGAGCTATCAACAGCAGTAACTCAAGGCGTACTGGTCCCTTCACGGACCAGTGCTCATTGTACCGAATGACGGACTTATCCCGTCACTGGTCGTTAACGAACTGAACGATGATGAAGGGATAATGCTGTCATTGATTGTGAAAAGGTAAAAGCCCGTACAGGTCAACAATTGCGCTCCAGTACCTTTATTGCCCAGCTTCTGCAGCCGAGCAAAGACAGCTGATGAACTGGAAGTGATGCAATCAGCATCACAACTGGTCCCATTCAGCAGAGACTAGATAGGTGAACGGATGTTTGCCAGTCTCGTCTCCTTCCCATCAACACCCGAGATGCTGGTTCCCTCTCACACTTCCGTACCGCCAGGAATATGATGAAAGCGGCCCGCTGCCAGCGATGTATTCCATATGTCAGAAGCGAAAGGGATAAAGTTGACCGTACCCAAAGCCATTTATGTGCATCAAGCTAATATCTATATTGCTTTCTTGTTTTATGTATAACATTCATACACTGAGTGGCCAGATTATTATGACCACCTAACGTTTGTAGGCAAATTAGCTGTAATTTCACGCTGAAGTTGCTAGAGGGCCAGACCGTTATAAATAGGGAAGCAGGTTGTTTACCACAACAGTAGAAGTGATTTTTTTCTGAAGATATGGGTAAACAGCGCGATTTAACAGCATTTGAACGTGGGATGATTGTTGGCGCTCGGAGCCATGGAGCGAGTATCAGCAAAACAGGAGAATTCGTTAAATGTTCAAGAGCAGCTGATGTTAAAGTGTTTAAAGACTGGACTGTCAGCCGAAAATCTGGGTCTGAACGTGCGAATTGTGGCCGTCAGCGACTAGTCAATGTTAGGGCAGAACGGAGAGTGGCAAGACTGGTACAAGGCAACAGTGCAGTGTCAGATTCCTCGCATCACCTTTCAACATCTCGTGAAGTCACGAGGTGGCCCAACAAAGTCATCTCGTGGTCCACGAAGTACTGATGGGGTGGTCATAATAATCTGGCCACTCAGTGTATGTCTCAATTCATTTTGCCTTAAGAAGAGGCAAGTGTGCTTCAAAAGCTTGCTATACAATCTATTTAGTAAGCCAAAAAATATTATCTAAACTTCTACTGTTGTTGATGAGTAACATTGTGCTGCTGTTATGGTTGAAATTATCACTTAACAATTCCATAAAATGTTTTAGTCCTGTCAGTATATGAGCTGGGAGACTGCTGGGCCACTATCTGTTCACTAATCTTTTCAAGGTTGAACAGGCTGCCTGTAATTGTGTGATGGCTCCATGTATGGACTAAAGAAAGGATGTGCCCCTAATAAAAATGAGAAGATTCCTTCAAAAAGTCACTTTTTTTTTAGTAACCGCCCATAGAAAACACAACAGTCCAGTAATCTTCCATAAAGAACATTGAGATGAAGGACATCCTGATTTAAATGTTAGGCAACGGCATTGGATGTCCATAGCTCTAGAAGGAGCAAAGTCCTCACACACTGATCGTGCGAAATACATTGAAACCAGACAGAGCTGTGCTGACGACTAGGCCAGGACACTGTGGGTGCCAGTGTAACTCCTTAATGTCTTTTTCTCCTTGGTGAACAAACAGCAGTTGTGGTGGAATAGAGGACAATGCAGGATCTTCACTTTCTCCTTCCTGATCCTGATCCCTTTCCACAGCAAGATCCCATTGAGTGATCTGGTCGTCGGCACCGGCCGCAGCAAATACACCACTATCAGTAGGGTGCCACTCGACAGACGTGATAGGTGCTGTGTGCTGTTTAAACTTTGCCACACTGACTCCTTTCTGAAAATAAGCAATACAAATTCACATTGTAACATCAAAAAAAATCTTAACATGAAATGTTTCTTCCTTATAAAAATAAAAAAAAACACCCAAAACATAAGCTAAGCATTGATACCCTGTGAAGTTAAAGGTTTTCAGGAAACAAGCAACTGCCCAATGGGATTATATGGCTCTAGAAAAGTGCATCCAACCTACATAAAAGTAATTTAAATAAACCCTGTGCTCAGCCTCCCTGATATTTAGCCTCTTCCCGTTATGGGGTGACTACAATCTCTTCCCATCTCCCAAATGTGCTCCTGTACTGTCAGCATGTCATCTGAGCTGCTGGAGACCTACAAGTTGCTGTGTCCGGTACACTCCTACAGAAAAACCTTAGACAGAACTTTTTTTTAAAAGTTTTGTATAGTCAGAAAGAAAAAAAAAACACATAGGTAAAGTTTGTATTGCTGTTCATGACCCCACTGGGGAAATGTCACCTCTCTTCCTGTCCCAAGGACACCAAGACAATAAGAGGAGCAGTTGTCATTGAAACAGACAAGAATACAAAATATGGTGGAGGTTCGAATCCTTCATTTTACTGAAAAAAATAAGTGTTCTGTTTGCAGTCTGTGATATAAAATGCAAATGTTCCCCACTACATCCAAAAGTAAAAAAAAAGGTGGTTGGAGTAGGGCTGTAAAAGCGGCTTTGTATACCCCCTCCAGAATTGAAGTCCATGTAACTAAGCTTTTGCTTCATTTGGTATTGAAAAGGGAATGATGAAAATACATGAAACAACACTCACCTGAAATTGCCTCAAGTCCCAGATTTTCAGAACAGCATCATCTCCTCCACTGAGGATAAAAGGCTCAGTGCTGTTCCAGCTGATCACATTCACATCGCTTTCATGAGCCTCGTTGGCTATCAGCATGCATGCCTTATTAGGAGCCGCTCGAATGTCCCAAATACGAATTGATTTGTCAACTGAGCAAGAAGCAAAAACCTGGCACAAAAATTGCAGTGCGAATACAATTTAGTCCATTTGACACCATTAGACGCAGTCCATACAAATTATTTTATTTTTTTTACTTTTCCTACTGAAGTCAAACTTGGCTCTGGCCTTCTCACCTACCAACCCTTGCTATTGGTTAGAGTAGAAATCCAGACAGACCTGTCCCTGGAGCCCCCTCTTCCGCTCCAGCAATGGAATGTTAGGTCAGCAACCTAACATCCTATACACGGTATAGGATGTGGTGGATCACAGGACCTTAGACCACTGAAACAGAGGGGGAGAGAGGCTACAGGAACCAGTCTAAGAGCCAGCCGGCAAGTACTTATACCATGCAGTGCGGGGCAAGCCCCCACTGCAAGGGTTAAGAATTATTCTACCTGGAATGCGTCTCTAACTGCATTAAAGAGGCTGTTTACAGATCATTAAAATTCCAACAAAAATATTTCCATAAGATTATATGTACAGATTATATCACATCTTGAATGTGATGTCAGCAGCTTCAGCAGACTCAATGCTTCAGAGACATGCCACACCACTGATGAAGCCAGCGGTGACTGACATAACCGGTCAGGTTTTAAAGCTACCATTCACGTCCTTGGGTCCCCGTTTTAACATCCTGCGCTTTTGTTGTACAACTGGCGAACTCTGAGAAGTGTGCATATGCTTGTCCAATACCTATTGATTGGGAATGTGTCAGCTGATAAACTGGATCACAGGCATTACTGAGAGAGAAGGTTGAAGCATTGATGTGAGTGCGGTTGATTTAAGGAGGAAATAATGGACTTTGAACTGTTTTGATAATCCCTCACCACTGGATGATTTGCTAAGACACCAGAGCCCAGCCCTGACGCATTCACCCATGCCCTATGAGAGAAGCTAGAATATTCAACTGTACATGAAGAAATGTAGCATTTAATAAGTATCTGCATTGTAATTGGATAGGGATATGGCTGCCATGTCTGGAAGGCTGAACTGGGATTAACTCTATATTTTGCCTCATGCTAGAGAGATATGACAGGACATAATCTTGCAGATATCCCTTATTTGAGCACTCTGCAAAATGGACAATGAAATATGCCTGGGCTGATGTTGCTATAGTCGTCATCTTCCCCTCTCTCTGGATATATTACAACAGAACTGATGTACACACTTAAGAGAAATTTTGTATGCTGCTGTATTTCTTTAAAGCGACGATATATGTGATCGCTATGCAGCAGTGTTTATTATTGGATTTCTTCAGAAAGAGACTATACACATACATAATAGACTATATCTTTGTGGGGACAGGATGTTTTTAAAATGTTGTCTTCTGCACAGATTAATATGTCACGTTACTGTGTATACTAACAGGACATTTCTTTCCAATGTTATGCAAATCACTTGTGGTAAATAGCATTTGTCACAATTTAGGCCTGTAGAGTCCCATATACAGGGGTTCTTTAGGAGACTGTTGGTTTAATTGGGTAACGGGGACTCCAGGCATTAGAAGCTTTTGTAGTCAAGTAGAAAATAATCTTTTCAAGAACTAATCTCCTCGAATCTGATCTTTGCTGGGTCTAATCTGTTAAGAAATCTGGCATGGTGACTTTCCACCAAATCCAGCACTACTGTGTCCCTAAAAGGACATCTGTGAAGATGGAAATATGGGATCTGCCACTGCTGACTTTTTTTTTTTTTTTTTTTTAAAAAACAAGTTTCTTTTTTTTTAAACTTCCTTTTTTCTATCTGACTTTGTGGAATGTGAGATAGCAGTCACAAAGTCGCATAGAAATGGCATTTCCGGACCGATCAGCTGTTTCAGGGCAGATCAGTTCTCCTGCACATACCATCTGCAATGCCGATCTGCCCTGGACAGGTGAAATTCACCTTTTGCCGGTCACATATTCCACCGCTGAAAAACTAGGCGGGATTATGTTAAAATGTGTGACCACGTGACCGGTCACACATTCCACCGCCAAAAAAGAAGTCAGAAACTTTGATAGAACACCTGCAGTAGACTGATTGCACCATCTTGGTGTACGCAAAATCATTTGAATGGAAAAGTACAGCGAAAGAAAAAAATAATGTTTTGCATATTATAAACACGCCAGGAATGTATTCATGCAAACTTGTAACATTAGGTCTGCTTGTTCTAGGAACACTAACTGCCACAAGAATTTATAAGACAGGCGCTCCCAATCCCACCCATAGCACAGAATCATGTGATCACAGAGAAAGCAAATCCACTAACATACGAGTATCATGAAGCATTAACAAACTAATACGCAGAGCTCAGATATTGGGAAACCCATCAGGAAATAAGCTGCCCCTGCTGACTTTTTTTTTTTTTTTTTTTAAAGAACAAGTTTCCATTCTTTTAATACTCATCTTTCTTCCACCGCTTGGTAAATCGCTGACCAGAAACCTACATGGGCATTGCCAACTACTTACTTACTCCAGATCAGTGACTCTAGTGGTATAACAAAGATGCTGGTAGCCCTGGAGCCTGCACATTTTAAAACAGTTTGGCAATAGCAACACTCATATTCCCTACCAGGTTCCCTGACTGGGATTTGGAGCCACCACATGAAGTGTTTTTAATATATTCCTACATATTATCAACATCAGATTTCTGCACTGGTCTAAACACAGGGTTCCCAGTACTGAGAACAAAAGAGAAATCTGCCTTTCCTCCTCTCCTGAAATGAGTCCTTAGCACGTAATCCCACCCTACTACACACTTAACCCCTACCCTGATTCTCAAGACTCGACCCTACCTTAACTGCTGAAGTGAGCACTCAAAGGGAAACTCCACTTTAAAAAAAAAATGCATATAGCACACCGCCTATAACTGCAGCACGAGCCATTTTGTATTTTAATGCTACTAAAAACTAAGTTTCTATTTTAAACTGCAGACATTGTCATTGTCTAATACGGTCACAGAAATTAAATACAAGAAGGCGACTTGGAGGTGTTCTATACAGAATTGACGTACAGAACGCACCCAGAAATGTAAGTTCATGCTTCTCTGATTGGCTGACTGATTTTGAGAGATGTCTGCACTAAGGCACAAGTATAATTTTAGGCATCCCCTACAATAGAAATTGTCACTTTTAGGGACAATGGTGATATACTCCCTAAGGGTTAATTACTACTAAGGGGATGCAGACACGACAACTTTCCTCATTAGAACATAGAAATTCCACTAGCTGATTATAATGAACCCAGACCCTCCCATTGAGGAATCAGTCTGGAACAGACATGTGGAGACAAACAGCCATTTCTTTAGAACAGAAAGGTAGGAATTTGCTACAAAGTTTATTAAAATCCTTACAATGTACATTGATCATCCAGAGGGGATTTTTTTTCCCCCCTCAACAAAAATGGAATTACTCTTTAATAACCTCCCAACAATTTAACAGTATGCCCAATATTCACCTAAACTTACCAATAACACTTAAACTCTGTTCTGCTGTGGGTTCCATGTTCAGAGCATGCAACCAGTCTCCAGCATCAGAAAAGGCCGCACCAAACATTTCTATGTCCTTCACCTAATTAGTGGATTCAGCATAGGAATACGTTGAGATCTGGGGGGTGATTTACTAACCTAAACACACGCACGCACCAGGTGTGTGTGATTTTCACACAGCAAAACGTATTTATCAACCAAAAAGTCTCTAAAAGCATATTTCCACTAATGCCATATATGGAAAAATCATGCACATGATGCATATATAATGCTGCTTTACAGTTTAGACAAAAATGGTTAGCTCATGCATTTACATTCCTGCATTCATCAACGCAAGCAACATAACATAGAGCTAATTTACACCACATTACCTTGCAATTCATTGCAGGGCTTTGCACAACACACCTGTTGGGTGTGTACACACTACAAAGGTGTTTCGATTCCTCCCATAGATCATGCTGGGAGGGAACACACTACAGAGGTGTATACACGTTCATGGTGTGTTTAAAAGGTTAGTAAATCAACCCCCTGAAGTCATACAGTGACAAAAGAGACCAAACGATAAAACTAATCCTAAACTATCACAGCTGTGATTGAGATCAGGGTAGATTTCCCCTCCATGGTCCTGAGAGCTATAACCACCCAGCAGGGGATCAAATTTTGGTCCAAGTAACCTAAAACAAAATGATTGCCTCGTGGGTGCAGTTTTGCTATAAAGGTTCCCATACACCTTACAATTATCGTACGATAATTGTAGGCGATCGACTTTTCGTAAGACAATCGCAAGGTGTATGGGGAGTGTGCAACCGCCAGTACTGTACAATCGTACGACTTTTGTCTTTCCTGCATGTTCGAAAACTTCAGTCGATCGTACAATTTTCACAAGGTTGGTGGCATTTCCGTACGTCAAGTCATACGATTAACACCGCTCATGCGCAAACGAAACCTGCGGATTACCGCAATTCGGCCAGGTGTTTTTTTTAACTACCACTGATTGAACCTTGCGATAATCGGGGCAGGATGGGGCCGCCGTACGAAAATCGCACGACGGTTCAATCATCGGACGAAAAGTTTCGCCCGATCAAGGTTTATGGGCACCTTTACACTGTTCATAGATTGTGCACAACACCTGAATAAATATTATGTTTTTCATTTACCGTGGCTTCATTAGGAGACCACTGAAGATCCTCCACTGATTTAGTATGGCCAGTGAATGGTCTTTGATCAATATTCCAAGTTCCTCCTTCTTTTGGGTTCCACAAATGTATGTTTTTGTTACAATCACCAGTAATTAACATCCCTGAAGAGAGAAAAGAACATTTTTCAAAGGTGAGAGAGATCGTAACCATATTGAGACATCCACCTTTGCTAAGCAGTTTGGGGAAAAAATGGAAGGTAAATAGTAAAAAGTACTAAAAAGGAACAAAGCCCCCTAAAAGCATTCTGATAGAACATTGACATGGCTCAATGTCTGGTAAAAGGGTTCTGATCCCAGCTAGCAGACATCTAAGTGCCTACAGGCACGGTCACCTTTTCGTCATGGAGGGCTCTTGAGGCCACTGAGGCAAAGCTGATCCTGTGCGCTACCTGGAGGTACATGTTACTGGATGACTTTGCCTTTTTACTAGATAATGAAATTGGTTAAAACAAATCTTCAAAGTGACAAATAACTCAGGAGTTAAATCTTAAAAATACATTCAAGTACCCTATTAACAAAAATGTATCTTATTTGTGTATCACTCGGCTGTAGATCCTCAAATCATCTCTGAATTGGTGCTGACACTGTTCTTCCTTCTGGAGGGTGGCTCCTTTTCTTACCCATGGTCCCTGTGTGTGTTGTAAAGTAGCCACTGTTCCCAAACTGGCTGGACAGGAGACAGGAAGGGTTTGGCAAGCTTTGGCACTATCAAGAAATACTGCAGCTTTACCTGTCAGAATGGCATAAGATTTGAACGTGACAAGGTGGTTTGGGAGGATGCTACGGGTATGTGCTATGTGTATTTTGCAGAAAGAGATTTAGGACTCCTGGTCCTCAATCTCTTTTTCTATTTTAAAAGAGAAATATCAGGGGGTCTGTTTAGACTTCTGATATTTCCCCAAAGCCCCCCGACTGTAAAGCTTTAAAAAAAATGATAATATATATATTTTTTAAAAGGTTGGAAAAATAAATGTCATGTTTGGCTTTGCCCGGACATTTTGTATTTCTGGTTCAAAAATTCCATTTCGGTGCATCCCTAGTAATTAGCAATGTGATGGATACTTTTCTTCTTGCTGATGGATTTGTTTAGAAGTTCTCCTTATTTACATACCTTGACCTATAACAATAATGATCTTTAAAGCAGAAGGTAATTTGTGCAGTTCTAATATCATTAGGCACTATGTAAGGGTCATAATGTGGCCGTTGGTGACAAATTCCCAATAGAAGCATATGGTCTGGTATATGGTTTGATTTGATGTAATGCACTTCGGTGAAGTCACACTTCCTTTTGTCCCTACCTGCTGTCTTCAAAGACCAGTCCATGGCAAAGCCTTCTGTCATGTGGCCAGAGAATGAGAACATTGGTTTGATTTTGGCTTGTTCTTCTTTCAGAAAGGTAGCCAGGGTCTGGGAGTCCGACACAGCTGCCAACTGCTTTTGTAGATCATAGATTTCCACCTGACCCTTTTCTGACCAAACTGCAGCTACAGGAGTGTCCAGCAGCGTAGAGACCTGTGAAAGAGAAACAACATTTTCCAGCTACTGAGCAAAGTGTACTCAAGAACAACAGCTGCTAAGCTAAATTACTATATTTGTACAATATATTTAATCGCTTTTTATTTCTTAAAGTGAATCTGCAACACCGGAATGTGGGTAGGCACTCTTATATCATCATGTACAACGCAGAGCCAGAGGTAAATGCATTTCCTGCGCTGTAAGTGATGATGTCCGCAAGAGGGTCAGTGACAAGACTGGTCATAGTCCAGAAAGTGGTTGTCACAACCAGAATCAGCCTACAGAACCAGGGATTAAAGTGATATTAAAAACAAAAGATATTTAAGCTATTTGCCGATTGAATCACTTACACTGGATGCTGCTTTTTAATATCCTGCAGAATCAACTGGTCCTCCGAGCACTGGCCCTGATATTCTGTTTTTGGGTGGCTTCTGTCTTTTGCAGCGTCCTATGAAGCCACCCTTTTGTGTGCCAGTAGTCTGTGTGTCTGCACAAACACACAGGCAAAACAGGGCAATCCACTCCCCAGTCGTCGCCCCCCTCCCTCTCTCAGCTAGTAGATGGATAGCTGCTGGAGACTGCACTCTCCTTGTGATCTTGTACTGGACAGGAAGTTCAGAAAAGCTGAACTGAGAGAGTTGGAGTCGGCTCTCTAGAAACATGATTACTGAACTGTCTGATCTGGACAGAAAAAAAGGAAAGTCTCCAGAGTGGAGTCAAAGACATCAATAAAACCCTGGCAGGGGTTCTTTCCCTTCCCTATTATACCAGAAAAGGTTTTGGTGTGTGCTGAATCCCATTAGAAATAAATGGGAGCGGTCTCAAATCAAATGCACATATACACACACACACATACAGAGCTCCTGGGATTTGTACATCTCTGTTATAATGTACGATTTTGTTTTTATAAATAAAGGGATGCACAGATACCAGTTTTGTGAGTGCGAGTACTGGTACTTGCCGAGTACTTACAAGTACTGATACATTTTTGTTTATGGTCATGTGACAGTTTTTCTAAAACAATACAGACTAAATATTTCAGGACAGTGGTGGAGGGACAGAGCCAGGTCCCAGCTGCAACCCTGGTAGTTTTCATGAAAATGCCAAGTATCGGCATTGGTACTCGAAAAGTATCTGTGCATCCCTAATATATATACATATATATATATCTTTCACATCATTGAATTGCAAACCTTGTATATAGTGGAAGAAAAGACGAGGGTCTGTGCTGCCCAATGCAATCAATTTATTTCCATCATTCGCAGACACAAGCTTGCAGATTAAAAGAAAGCTCAAATTATTTGGTTCAATTTATTTGGGCCATTACATTTCTCCTTTTCTTTAGTTTTTTTTACAGCCAAGATTTCCATTTGATCCACAAACGTCTGTAGCACCCCCTTCCTAACACAATATAAGAGACCATTCAAATTTACCCGAATACGGTTAATGCCTCCATAGTGTGGAACCATGGCCAGCTCCAGTTGTGGCTTTTTATCCTCCTCCTCCTCTTCATCTTCACTTTCACTGCTCTCAGAATCCGAATTGTCTTTCTTCTCTTTGCTGGTCCGATGCAGGTTGTGCATCTTCATTACCAACAACCTGAGGAATACATTTAATTATAAGCTTTAATGGACATGGCTCTCTAACTGGATGTTGATACATACTTAACTGTACGTTATTGCAATTCTTTTACATATTGGTATTATCTGTATTTCTCAGGCTTGTTTTTGTCACTTATTGTGTCCAGCAACACAGTCAGATATAAAATAACAATAAGAATGTGAATTTGAGTAAGTGAACAAGTTAACAAAGCATATAGGTTTGAGTGAAAAATACTAGCCAACAGGAACTTAAAATGTATAGCAAAGTTGTATAGCCATCAGCAGCAATCTGATAAAACAACTTAAGAGCTCATGCACACAGGCATAGAATTTGCTGCGTTCAAATCCATAATTCAAATAGATCTGAACATAGCAGTATTGCTTGCTACGGCCCAGTGCACACTCCCGCCTTTTGGTCCCCAGCATCTAGCTGCGTAAACCAAAACTAGAAAATAGTGCATTTGCGGTCCTGAGTTTGGACCATATTTTATAACGTGTAAATGTTTGGACTGGTCCCTGTTGACGCTGCTCAGGGCGGACAGGTAAACAATAGCACGTATTCAGCAGGTGCCGTCGTTGTTGATTACACACTATTTTGTTAACATGTTGGCCCTCAATTAGTTATTTATGCATCAGTGGCAGCACATTTGCAGAATTACTTTGTCCTTCAATCCTTCAGAATGACTCAAGGCTGAATTCATTCTTCACTCGCGCTGCTGCATTTGAGTAATTCCCTAGGCAGGAGAGAATGAAAGGCTGCACAAATCTGTATGAGTTCTGATGCAATACGGACAACTTTTTATGCATGATCTTCCTGCCAGCAAGATTCTGAATACAAATAATACTGCCTACTACATGAGGCCTAAGGTGTATGCATAATAAGGTTTTTATTTTAAAATGTTAATGGGGAAGGGTTAAAACCTGTCAGTTTATTGTCTGGTGTCCCGTTAGGGAGATTTTTCTTCATTTTCAATTGTGGAGGGGCAACAGGAAGTGAGAGGAAATCTCTACAAAATGAGCTGGATTCCACTCTGAGATAGTGGTCCCAGAACAGGTCCCCATTGGAAGATTTAAAAGAATGATTTGCTCCACTCACTAAACTAAAGCGGGGCATAACCTCCTTGTTTTTTAGATTTGTGTTAGAGGTTTTCACATGCAAAAGATCTTTTGTGTCTTATAATTGCACTGCTTCAGCCAAACTGTTCTCTGATTTCTTGCATCTCTTGTGGAGTTTGGAGGTGATGCAACTCAACAGAATTCCAGTTTTGCACAGCAAACATTTTAATATAATGGTTTCACGCTGTCCTAATGCCTTCATTGCATAGAACAAGCAGACTGGGAAATCTAGCTGCAAGAGAGTGACAGTGTAGTTGTGGTGCTTTGAAGGGGGCTGACACGTGCTACTGTTGGGGAATCTCACCAATGAAGTGTCTGACCAATATATGACCAGGTATTTAATGTAGCGATCCTAGACCAACCCATGTCCATTTTGGGTGATATAAGCTTTTTAAAGTGTATTTACAGCCAAAATCTTTTTTTATATCCCTTTGTGCATTCAGGTCAGGATGGTAACAATGATACAACTAATGATTACATATTCATTTCTTGCATTATTGTGTCTAGTACTAGTACTTTTTTTTCGTGTTTTTTCTATACCTGGACCATGGTGTGGATGACCAAAATGGCCAACACAACTGAAAGAGCGTCATGCACATTGAAATGGATGACAAGGATAAGAATAAAATATTATTACCTGTTGCCTTGAGCGGTGTCGGCCTGAGTGCCAGCACAGAGGAACATGGTCATAGGGAAGTCTGAACGATTGTCTCCTAAATCATCCAGAATGACATCAAAACTTAAACATGGGGCACCTGAAAACAGAGAGATCATGTTGTTAGGAGAGAAATAACAATATGGAGTGATCTATTCAGCTGCCCAAAAATGTAAAATAATATACTGGAAAATAATCAATCGCTGGATGTAAACATAGTAGTGCAGAGGTGAAAGGAGGACTCCCGGAAAAATATTAACTCTTGCAGTGGGGCTACCGACACACTGCAAGGGTTAACTGCTCGTTTGTTTCTAGGGACTGAAATAATAATAAAAAGTTATACTCACCGGACCTCAGAGCTGGTGAGCACTCCCTTCAGCCTCTTTCCTCCTCTGCTGCCGCTGCAGTGGAGGGGGGAGACGCTGGAAGGAGCGGTCTAACAGGAAGCTGGCTCCAAGGATCAAGTGAATAACTTTTTTTATTTTCAGCCCTAGACACAAATGGACAGTTAACCCGTGCAGGGCTAGACCCACTGCAAGGGTTAATAATATTTTTCCCCCAGAGTTCTGCTTTAAGAACTATTGCCCCAAACAACCTCTGTCACCACATAGATGACTTCTGCATTGCTTTCTGGCCTTGTTTACACTGAGATCTTAGCCAATGTGTTAAGGAGGGGTTAAAAAGGAAGTGGCTATTGATCAGTTCCTGGAAGTACCCACTTTGCACGTGCCAGGTTTTGTAGCTTAATACTGCTGCCAGGCGTGCTTTAAACATGAACTCTATGTAGATATAAAGACTCCAATTAATGCAGCTCTGTAATGACTAACATATCATTTTTTTTATGCAAGCAGTATAAGTACCTGAATCTGACCAGGTATCAGCCTCTTATAGTTCATGTACAGCAAATCTGGTGTGTGAGAGGAAGAAGCAGCACAATGAGCCAATCAGTTCATGTGCTGACAAGAAGCATGCTGATTGGAGAATTAAGTAATTACACTGCCGCTCACTGTAAAAATTAACTACTTAGGGGGATGTTACAAGACTGGTGCCAGTGGAATGGTGGGCACAGGGGCCACCAGTCTTATTAAATGGAAGTGGAAGTCAAGTCTACTGACCCCCTAAATAACTCAAAGACTTGCATCTGTCCCCTTACTTTGTTTTCTGGTATAGACCGCTTCAGCATGCAATTTTAACATCTCACACTCTGTATGCTTACATTTCCAAGTCAATTTAGTCCCCATTAGTATCTTTTAGAGCTGCAGCTAACGATTATTTTCAAAATCGATTAGTTAGCCGATTAATTTTGATTAATCGGATAAACAATCAAATAAATTAAAAAAATGGCTCCAATGATGGGACTACTAGTTTGTATTGAGGTTGTAGTCCATCACAGGAGAAAGCTTGGAGCGGTGGAAGTAAAAAAGAAAAACAAATAGTGTGGTGTGCAATATAGTGAAATGGAAAGTGTAAAATTATACAGCAATGAATGCAGAATTGCATCGGCTATAGAGGACTACAAATCCCAGCAATAATACAATATACAGTGCAATGCCAATACCACTAGATATAGAGGACTACAACAAATTTTAGCAATAGTACATTACAGCTGGCGGTATTCTGCATTGCACTGTATAATGTACTATTGCTAGGTTTTGTAGTCCTCTATAGCTAGTGGTATTCGGCATTGCACCACTGTATAATGTACTATTGCTGGGATTTGTTATATTCCTCTATAGATGGTGGTATTCCGCATTGCGCTGTATAATGAATTATTGCTGGAAATTTGTAGTCCTCTATACAGCGCAGTGCAGAATATCACCAACTATAGAGGAGTACAACAAATCCCAGCAATAGTACATTACAGCTGGCGGTATTCTGCATTGCACTGTATAATGTACTATTGCTGGGATTTGTTGTACTCCTCTATAGTTGGTGATATTCTGCACTGCGCTGTATAGAGGACTACAAATCCCAGCAATACATTATAGAGCACCATGTGGGGGAAAGTGCAGGCTTACCTGAGCAGTCTTCCAGCAACTTGCTTCTGAGATCGGACCTGTCTATCGGCGGCTGTCACCCCCCCACACCTGCTCCTCCTTACTACATCTCCCCGCGTCCCTGATCGTGGATGTGGGCGGGCGGTGAGTGTTAGGCGGGGAGGAGGTGCGGCATGTAGATCGTGGATGCGGGCGGGCCTGGCAGCGGCGAGTGTGAGGTGGGGAGGAGGTGCGACGTGCAGCATGTGGGAAGCCGTGAACAGGGCCAACTGATCGGAAGCCGATTAATCGATTATTGAAAAAGTTGACAACTTTTTCAATAATCGATTATGTCGATTAGTTGTTGCAGCCCTAGTATCTTTGAATAGACGCTTAGAAGCACATACATATATATTTTCTGTATACCTATGTCCACATTTCATTCTCTGATATCTCCCATTGTAGTCACACATGTAGAAGCACTGTGCTCAGAAATGAATACACTGCTTTTTTCACCAATCCCTCACAGCTCCACCCGTCTTCCATCCCACCTCTCTACTCTGCCAGCCCCTTCTACTACCTGAAGCCTAACTGCATGTGACATGTGATGCAAGGCATTGTGGGAGGTGACCCGGAAACGCAAACAGCAGCAGAAGCCACTACTTAAGAGGGCGAGATTGTCCGTGCTTTTAAAAGAAAATATTTAGTAACATAATAAAGTCCTTTCTTTATTTCACAATACTTGTTCTAAGTACCTAATGTGCTTTCAGACCTTAAGAATATCGACAATTACTTTTTATCAGGGCCCTCTTTAACGCAGGGCAAAAGGGGCAGTCGCCCAGGGCCCAATAATTGTTGTGGGGCCCAAAGCAGCTGCCCCTTCAGCCCACATAAGATAAACACATGCAGGGCTGGCAGCCTCACCTGTGTAGGCAATGGGGCTTGCACAAACCCTGCCCCCTGTCTGTGTACACAGAATCAGTGCTCTACAGACAGGAGGCTACATACAGCAGCATAGACGTGGCTCTGGGCTCTGCCCACTATCAACTCGACTAAACATGCCCTGCGCTATAGAGATCAACTACATGTGCAATCTAATGATAATCTACATGTGAAGTAAATACAAAACATATAAATATACGCAGAATCACCCTATGGTGAATAAATACATATTAGGTATTTTTTCACTATATATTGTATTTATTCACCATAGGGTGATTCTGCGTATTTACATATTTCTGTATTTACTTTACATGTAGATCATTATTAGATTGCATGTGTAGTTGGTCTATAAAATGCATTGCACGTTTATAATTCACTAGGGATGCTACTGCACTGATACTGATACCTGCACAGACCGTCTGAGACCCCGTACACAGCCCTCCTGAGACTCCGCACAGCTTGCCACCAGGATATTGAATATCCTGTCTCTCTCTCCTGGCTGTCTCTCATTGCTCTTTCTCCTGGCTGTCTCTCACTCTATCCCCTGGCTGTAGCTCCTGCCTCTCTCTCCTATAGGTCTCTCCTCTTTCTCTCCTGTCTCTCTTTGCTCTCTCTCCTGGCTGTCTCTCTTTGCTCTCTCCTGGCTGTCTCTCTTTGCTCTCTCCTGGCTGTCTCTCTTTGCTCTCTCCTGGCTGTCTCTCTTTGCTCTCTCTCCTGGCTGTCTCTCCTCCCTCTCTCCTCGTTCTCTCTTGTTTATTCTAAAAAAGTTGCAGTGTGGTGTTAGACTGTTCGGGATTCGCTTGAAGAAAAAGCAGCAACCCTTGCAGCACCATTCTGTTTACTATGCGTTCGGCATCACATAGTGTTGCCCCCACCTCTTCCTT